ACCGAAGCTATCACCCACCAGAAAGAGTCGTCCGAAAAAAAAATTGCCGCCTTGGAGAAAGAAATTACTGCTCAGAAGGCCGCATCCACCGAAGCTATCACCAGCCAGAAAGAGTTGTCCAAAAAAAAAATTGCCGCGTTGGAGAAGGAGATTACTGCTCAGAAGGCCGCATCCACCGAAGCTATCACCCGCCAGAAAGAGTCGTCCGAAAATCTTTTTGCCGCCTTGGAGAAGGAGATTACTGCTCAGAAGGCCGCATCCGCCTCCCTAGATAAAAGAATTGACCGACAAAAAGCTGTTCAAGAATTCACCGACACCCGTCAGGAAGAACGTCTCCAATTCCTCATCAATTCCTCAGGCTCCTACAAAAAGATGAGGGACCGCTTTATAAGCACTTACAAAAGAGACCACATGCGCAACGCTACAAAAGCTGACAGGAAAAAAATATCCGAGGGTAACCTCTCTGTTCACGGTGGGGATGCAGTTGTAGATGCATCTCTATATTCTGGTCCTGAGGCAAGAAGAAAAGATCCCCGTGTCTTCACCCACCTATATGGGATTTCACCGAAGAAGATGAAAAGAATCAGTAAGCGATCTTCACTCTCCATTCTTCTTTCAATCAGCACAAAAGCTAACTTAGGTAGAGCACGAAAAAACAATACATCTCTTGAACACACACGCCGCAGTTCTCGCTTCGAACTACATGACCGGGAGTAAAAGGTTTTGCCACCTGTTCCGGGTGTTTGTGGAGACTTTTGAGAAATCCAACTACGATGAGAAATACTTGGATGATGGAATTAATACCGATGTCACACGAGCCTTCTGGCTGTTTGTTGACTGCCTCAAAACCGAAGTAAAACGATCGCGGACTGTTAGGGGAAGTTAATCCCTTGCCTTGTTTTAAAATTCGGTAAAAGTCTTCAATGCCACAACCTTGGCATGAAAATATCTACAATACCACAATATCTTAGACTAGTTCGGTCTCTAATTTTTACGCCCCCCCCCCCCCTACAACCTTTTACGGTAGGCAGTTTGAACCCTTGCAGACATAGATTCCTCATGTTGAATCTCACTTACCAGTGGAAACTCGGTAGCTGAACTTTTCACCAACAGACCAATCATGCAAAACCCTCGCGACTCCACCAAAGGAAGAGAAACGTTGCCCCAAGGCCGGAGCTGGATGGAGATCAGATAAGGCCGCCACCATAGGATCGGAGGAGGAAAAGATCCACAAACACTCAGGAAGGAAAAGAAAGTAATGAGTTGTGTCATGGTGAAAATTTTTCGTTACCAGTACTAGTCTCACACGTTGTGGCATTGTAGATATTTTCACGCCGGGGTTGTGGCATGGAAGACTTTTACCGTTTAAAATTATCATCTTGGTGGGTAGCCAAGGTTATGAGAGAGACAGTAAAAGGCAAGTTCTGCTTGATACTGCTTAGAGTATTCCAGAAACATGTGACCTTCTGCTCAAGATTGCAATTCAGATCACTAACCTATTATGGTAATCAGGATGGAAAAAACTTCGGTAACTCTCTGAAGTTGTAGTGCTCAGTACGAAGGGGGTAGGGGAAAGTGCGGTGCGTGTCGCGGTGCACCAAGCTTAACTGAGTTCTAATAATATATTCCACAGAAAACTCCGAATTTCCTCTTCGATAGCTACAAGGGCCTAATATACCCACACAATGAGAATACTATTTCCAGGGTGTCTATACTAGTACTCAAGTACCGGTATCGCTATTATCGCTAGAAATAGTTTGATGATGTTTTTTTACATGTTTTTTCCGTTGTCATGCAACCTGACCCGCACCGCCACGTTCGCCAGACTTTCCCCGGTCAAGGCCTACAATAAACGAGAAAACCTTTCATACTAATATGTGCTTGGCGGTAGACCCTTTCGTATCCGCAAAGGTTTCAGGTTTAGACCATCCATCCTCCCCCCTCGCCTCATCGCGCACCCGCCCATCCCCATTCTCACTCCTCCGAATACGATAAACACACCCTACACGTTAGATCTTACCATGTTAAATACAACTACCATGACCGACCCCCCCCGTATTTGCAATCCCTAGAAAGGCGTCAGATTTGGCCAGCATTAACGGCCTATACGTCCGCCTCTGCCTCGTCCAATGTGGCTACCGCGATCCACTCCGATTGAAAAACGGCGGGGTTATAGCAACACGATAAGGCAAAGACTTGGACAGTAGTACCCGTACACAATTGCACAACAGGACTTCTCGGTGAGGAAGAAAGATCTCCGTCCCGCACTTCATTTAAAACTAAACTAACGGAAAAGACAGGAGGTATATATAACCGAAAAAACGAACACATCCTCCAATCCTTCTATCCTTCCACCGGTCACTACACATATCCATTCTCTTCCTTTCCATGCACGTCTCCCGCTCTCTCATTCTGACTCCCGCGCTAATATGAGAAAGCCATGCTTCTCAATGAACTCTTCCGCCTTCCTCGCCCCGCGCATCCCGCCCTCCTACAAAGGACTCTCCCACTACTTCCCAGCCTCCGCCTTCCTTCCAACCGCGTCCATGCCCATGATCTTTCCTCCAGCCACGAACGGATGACGACTTCCGTGCGACGGCTGCGAGCAAACGGGTGACAAAACTAATGATAACGGGAACGGGAACGGGAACGGCAGCGATACCAACGGGCGACAAATCACGAGCAGGCGACAAAGGATATCGTACGAGCGGCTGATAGCCTACGTGTGGACGGGCAATAGCGATACAAACGAGCGGGCGATAGTGATTGCATGCCAAGCAGCATTTTCAACAACTCCAACGCTCGGGTCAGGGTCTCCGGGGCCTCACAGCAAGGAGAGTCAGGAATCAGCACAAATGCAGGTGCAGTTTGGACTCTGACGTGCTGGTGGTTGCAGAGCCAAAGGGTTCAGGGAACGGCTACTCGGGCATCATGGTGAATACGGCTATTCTCGTAAAGGCCAGCTTTCTCTACACATCACTCAGGCGTTATGGAGCGTGGTGGTAATGGAGGGTGGTTATAACAAGTATGTCGGCGAAGGATCCAGCGAGTAGTGCGATAAAATACATCTTGGCAATGGTGAAATTTTCCGTCCTCTCCTTGTACCCGTCCACCCGCCGCCCATCTACACTCCTGCGCAGTCGTGAAAACTGACGATACCGTTTACCTGTGATAGTGTTAGTTTGCAGTTCCGGCGCTGGTATACATGACCCCAGTTTCAGAGGACAAAAATGTTTGCGCACCCGTACTGGGTTATTGGGGTTAATATTTGTTTCCTCGTTTCTTACGCCCGAGGGGAAATTCACTGGAAGTGGATTCTCTGGTTCGCGGCCTTCTGTCGCTGGCTACACTACCAGCGGGATCTCTGGTGGGGAGGGGGAGGAGAAGGACGAAAGATGTGGGGTCAAGAGGGGGGGGGTGGATGTGCATTGGACCGGTGGGAGCTCCGAAGCATGTAAGATGGACCAAGCAGCCGTCGGACCCGGTGCGATTCTGTGGTATACACCCCCCTCCCCCGTCACCCTACACGCCATTCATTCCCCGGTTCCATTTTGTTCCTTATTAACCTGATACAGGCTTTTCTGGCCTGGAACTACTGCGATCGCGGGCTACAGCATCCCCGTTCGAAGACCCAGCCCGGCAGGACATGACATTGAGGAAACCACCAAAGATGCCTTTAGTTCTAACGACAAATATGCCCTCGTTAATAGAGACCTGGGTGGGGACGACGGTGACAGGAGATTCTCCTCCCGTCACGGACGTAGTGGAAGTGTGACCAGTTACGATGCTCACCACGGTAACCCTATTCCTTGGGGCGGTGAAGGAAGCGCGTATAATGGAATTGGAGGACATGGACCAGTGGCATGGGGGAGGATAGAAGAACCCCCTCGGGGTTAAGCATGCCCATCGCTCCAGATGAGGACCATAACTACAGGGGGGGCGACAGTGAACTAGGATCTTTTCTGCGTTTTCCTTTTGTCTTCCGGTATCATTTTCCATTTTTCCACTTCATTTCCTGGCCAGGTTTTCATTTTGACCCTGGTGCGGATGGGATGGGCTTTCTCCTTTTGTGTTTTATATATCCTTGGGCATAGAACAATGGAAAATAGCTTTTCAACTTGTATTGAGTACAAGCGGGAGATTTCTTGCATTGGGTTGGCGGCCCATCTGAACAGGGGATTTGATCAGATGAAGGAACTTGGGAGGAGTACATCAGCAAAAAAAAAATAAAGCCTGCGTCCTGTGCGCCCTGTGCGTCAGACGCACTGGATGCACAGGATGCAAACGGTTACTCAGGACGCATCTGGGTAGCTGCAAGGACTCAGGACGCAACGCTCTTGGTGCCTGAATCCAGGACACAGTCAGGACGCAAGCGAGCCCCTCTCCTATTTTCAGGATGCAAGCAGGTGCTACTACAATTTTCAGGATGCAGTACCAAAACTAGTCATTGTAACCTGAGTCACATATCATGTAGAATCTATAACCTTCAAAACAAAGTATATTTCTAGTCATATTGGTTCTAAAATACACAGTATACTATCAAGAAGCTCCCCTACACTCCTCCACCCCCCTATCCTTAGAATTGTGCCAAGATAAATACCACTCTTATAATAGGCTATAACTTGCCACATATTGGCGTCAGGAAGATGTACTATACACTGTTGGATAGCCGGCATCGAGTAGAATCCAGCCTCTGAGTATGAAAGGCTGTAGGCAATAGATGCGGGAGGAGTCTGGCATCAAAGTCAGTACTTCACCAGAACCTTACCAGATGTTAAGAATCCAACCGGTCGAATTAGTGGTGCGACAGGTAATGATTCTTACTAGGGTGAGATAATAGTTCTTAGGCCTATGCCTACGTGATATTGATAGTCCAGTCCTATGGCTACTATCTTATCGCACCTTTTCCTCTTTCTTCTTAAGTCCTAGCTTAGGACTTCTTGGCTCGGTGTGGGAGGAAAGACAATTCTTGGGGTTCTTAAGATAAATCTTAAAGAGCGTAAAGGTAGGTTTTATTGATAAAGTATAAAGGTAGGAAATAAACAAGAAGAACAAGTGAAGAGCTCAATACTCAGGTCCTAGTGGCCCTTTATATAGTAGCTCTTCACTCGGCATGACTCATACCTTGCGTCACATGAACCCTGTAACTCATAATCATAAGTCACCTGAAATTAATCAGCTGACTCCTATGAGTCGCTGAGTAACATACTAAAACCAATTAAAACATCATAACCATATCAAGTGCGCAACTCGCGTCACCTGAGTGAAACCCAAGATTCATAATTATGAGTCATGTGCGAAAATCATACCATCGTGTGACTCATAACTGTAAGTCACAAACAGGTAAACATAATAATCTATGGCATACTATCGTGTGCCATGTGAAATCCCAACATACCTAGTATAGCTCGGAATTCCGAGCTATATGAAATCTGCCTTGCTTAGTCACAGTTTGTGACACCCGAACTGTTTTTTTTTGCAACTCTGTTAATGTAACGGGAGCTCCCTCAGGAAGATAGATTCTAAGGATGCGACTGCACCAAACTTCGAATCTCTCAAATATAGCTCTTGCAAAATGTGAAGAATAAAAGTAATAGTAAAACTTAAGTAGTCAGACTTATACTAAAAACTCCTCCATCAGATTACCTCTACCAATATGAGTATGCCCTTCTCTGTAACGGTTGCCCGACAGTATTATGTAACGGACAGGGTCTGAGAGTTGGGTAGCCCAAGGCACACCACAGCGGGGACAGGCAAGAGTTCAGAGGCAAGGTCTAGGTACAGGAGTACAACCGAAGCGAGGTTGTATGAGGTTCGTGGGTCAGGGGTTCAGGGTCAGGGTTCAGAGGTTCAGGAGGACGCGAAGCAGAAGAGAGTGTAATTCCTAGGTACAGGTGTCTGAATTCAATCTAATTTTATTTAAACTCGCCGCGCCAAAACATGGCTTATGGTCGAGCGATCATCCTATCATACACCTACCATAAGGGCAGGCGGGCCCCCAGCGGACCACAAGCGGACTGGGACTGCCGTGTTAGGTACAGCCTGGGGCCGGGGTCCCCACAATACACCGGCGCGCGTAACAACAATGTACAAGACCAAGAAACCTCCGAACCCAAACCGTCCAGACCCGCTAGCGACCCCGAAAGAACACCACAAGCCAACACCTCCGCGAGCGAGCAAACACGAAAGCTAGGTACAAGATCATCAACAGCTCCGGTCACCCCCGCACCAACCGACAACCCGATGCCCGATCAGACAGGAACAGAGCGACCGAAGTCCTTGGTCCCGTCCAGCAAGGTAAAGGGAGTTACGGCCTGCGGCCATCCCAAAAATAAAATAAATCAAAATACAAATCCGGTCTTAATACCGTCCCGTAAACCCAACAAAGTAAACCCCCACAGTAGAAAATCCCCACGCCACAGAGCCGACCGCCCATCAAGGGGAAACATCGGGTGCGGCACCTCACCAACCCGTAACAACCCGACCGGGTCCCCAGCCACCAGGTAGGTAGGCCACACTTGCAATGGGTGTGACCGCCAAGCCCCAGCGCCATGCCAGGTTCCCAACCGGGCCGGCACACATCAGCCTCCACCCAGGGGAGCCGAGAGCCAACCACCCCACACCACCCCAGATAAACCGGGAGGGGGGGACAAATCTCAGGGTCAAAGCCATCCCCGCGGGGAGGAGACCCAAAAGACACCGTAAATGCAAGCGACCGGACTATTATCGCGAGAAACGGGCGGACGAAGGAGCGAGACGAGGACGACGAGCGACCGAGTATTCGAACCTTATCGATGTAAAACCGAGAGCCGAGGCCCTCAGCCAACAGTGGAGAAAGGATGTCAGCGAAAGCGAACCTAAGCTATCCAGTCTCAAACCTGTGATCCCGTAGGAAACCAGGGACGCAACCCCCCCAAACCGACGAAACGAACGTGAAATCCTGCAGGGAAACGAAGACAGGAAAGCCGAAATGTTTTACCGAAACGAAGGTCCAACTGTAAAGCGATGATCGAAACCATCAGAGAGCCAGAGGTTATTCCCGTGGGAAGCCTCATAGCAAAGAAGGCAACCAGGCCCGCGGGTGAGGAAGAAAGGGTGTCTGAAGGAGATTACC